ACACCAGTTAAAAAACAGGAAAGATTCTGAACTGTTATGTCTCAAAGAAGACATACAAATGGCCAACAAGTATATGAAAAAAAAATGTTCTCATCACTAATTATCAGGGAAATGCAAAAAACATGATGATATGCCACTACATATCTATTTTCTATTAGAATGAGTATGATCAAAAAAGAAAAAATAAATAAATGTTTGTGAGGATGTGGAGAAAAGAGAACTATTGCATACTTTGGGTGGGAATATATGGTAATATATTAGTTATGAACAACAGTACAGAGCTTCCTAAAAAAAAAGTGAAAATATAACTACCGTATGATACAGCTGTTCAACTACCACATATCTATTCAAAGGTATCTGGATACAATGAGATATCTGTACTCCTGTGTCATTGCATCATTGTTGATAGTAGCCAAGAGATGGGTCAACCTATGTGTCGATCAATATGAATGGATAGAGAAAACCTGTTATATATGCACAATGGAATACTGTATAGTATTCCATTGAAGGAAATATGTTCATTTGCAATAGCATGAATGAACCTGGAAGATAATACAGTATAAAGTGAAATAAACCACACACAGAAGGACAAACATAGCAGGATCTTACTCTTATGTAGAGTGTAAAATTCAAATTCACAGAAATAGACATCAAAATGCTCATCAGAGAATGCTTTGAGGGGATTAAAGAGACAATCAAAGGACAAAAAAATTTCAATTAGAAAGAATAATTTCAAGAAATCTATTGTATATCATGGTAAATACAGTAATGACAATATAATGTATATTAAAATTTTCTAGGAAAATAGATTTTAAATGTTCTCACCCCCAAACAATTGGTAAGTGCATGTTGTAATACATATGGTAAATAGCTTGATTTTGGCAGTCCACAATGTGTACGTATATCAAGACATCATGTTGTTCACTGTTATGGTTCGATACCACGTGTCCCCCCAAAGTCCATGTGTGAGAAATCCAGGAAGGTTTAGAGGTGAAATGATTGGGTTATGATAGCCTTAACTCAGTGAGTTATTATTCCCTGTAGGATGGTGGGATGTGGCTGGAGGAGGTGGGTCCCTTGGGGCATGCCTTTGGGGTATATATTTTGTCCTTGAAATGAGGAGCAATATCCTGAGCCATTTTCCTCTACTACATTGTTCCACCAACATGTTGTGCCTCACCTCCAGCCCCAAGAAATGGAAACAGCCTTCTATGGACTGTAACCTGTGAAACCATGACCCCCCAAATAAACTTTTCCTCCTCTAATTATTCTTGTCAGGTGTTTTGGTCACAGCAATGACAAAACTGACTGAAACATATACCATAAATATGTATAACTTTTTTAAGCAAAAGCAGGAGTTCTTAAAGTGAATGGAACAAGTAAACTTTTATGGTTACTAGTGAAACCAAATATGACTACTGGCAAATGAAGGGTGGGGATTGATCAAAATAAAAATGAGATTATACAATTAATCATTAAAGATTAGAAAAACTGCAAAAAATTTATAAATTGAGGAGATTAAACAATTAAGGTTATGTAAAAGCAGAAATCAACAGATTCAACTAAGTGATTTTTAAAATTTCTTAAGGAAGCATACATTGACAAATTTGCTTAAGGAGGAGAAAATGAAGTTGCCAATACTATGGAATATATTAAAAAAAGATTTAACCCTCAAAAGATACATTCAGACTCATACATTCAAGTTTATTACAACTTCTTCCAAATAATCAAAAAATGTAAAATTATAGGATGTAGAAGTGCTTTTTTCAGGACTTCCACTAAGTTTGTAAGTCTATCATTGTCTAACCAACTAAATTAGAAGTGTGTACTATAGTAACTTAAACAAAAATGAATTTCACTTCTTAACTTATATGCAAAACTCCTAAATAAAAACTAACATATCAAATTAATGTTATGATATTCTCATATCTCTACCCCCAAATTATGTAGAGTTTATGCAAACTAAGAATGCAAATCTGATTACATTGAATGTTTTAATAATGATATCTAAAGTTAAGATTAAAAGAATAATTCATTATACATTGCCATTTCTGGGAATCAGATTTGCTTTGCTGCATTTTTAAATTTTTTTCCTACCTAGCTGAAAAGTATTACAAAATGCTCAGTTCAATTTGATTCCGTATGAAGTCATTCAGAAATTTCTACATGTAAAAGTTTTCTAAATTTATTGGAATCATAATGCAGGTAATTGGTTGTGGGTAAGACACAGTAGTTGGGCAAAAGTTGAAAATGATTTTGCTTTCTGGACTTATGCCATTTTTCTTATTCAACAATCCAGTAAACATCAAATGATAAGGAATCACCATGGGACACAACTCTCCTCCCTGAGTCCCTATTCTAACTCCAGTCCTGTATTTAGATGTAGAAATGATAAAATGAGAAAAGGGTGAAATAGAATGTTGTGAAGAAGAGGAAGCTCTTCTTATTTATTATAGTTACAGTGCAGCTCAGATGCACATGTACCTCTGATGCAGTTCTACTACAGGGGAACTTGACCTGAAAGAAGCCAAACCTGTTTCAACTTTCTCAAAATCTGTAGATAATTGAATCTGGTATGTTTGTTTTTTGTCAACCATTTGCTTGGCAATCCATTTGCCTGAAATTATCTTTTTTGAAAGATGATGGTAAGACCTTTAACCCAAGGATAAAAACTTGGAGAAATGGCTTGTGATATTTGGGCTTTAAGTTTTGTTCAAATTCACTTTGCTCATTCACAAAATATTTACATCCATTTTAGCCTGGGACTTTAGATTTGTCTTTGAATGCCACAGAAAGTGGCATAAAGACTGGATAAATTCCTATCATGTTTAGCTGTTTGATTTTTATGTTTGTTGTTTGGTCTTAAGGTTTTTCTTCTGTTATGCTAAATAAGGACACTCTACAAAAGCAGCATGCCAACATCATTTCTATTTATCTTGCTCCTTCCCAGCTTAGTTGACATTCAGTAGATTGGTATGGTGCTACTTTCATTCAGGATTACTGGCATTTTTCTTCTTCCCTTATTCACACCACATTCATTTCTCACTATTTTCACTAAAAGGCAGTTATCATTGAATTTTGTCATTTACTAAATGATCAGATTAAAAGATATGTTTGAGAACAGTTTATTCTCAATTTTTCCTCTTTATATTTATATGTGCCACTTTTGGGTGAAAATTTCTTCATCCAAGTGATAATTATTTATCTACATGTTCTTTATTACACTTTCCATTTTAGTTATTTTGCCAAGCATTGCTCACTCACATGATCATTTCTTTATGCTGAAGATTTTGAAAAAAACTTGGTAGGGGGAATTATAGCAATAGTCCATTTAACAAATATTACCAGGAGATAAAATTTTCCAAACTAATGAATTACAAACTAAAATTTATCCCTTTAAGTAAAATGCATCAGCCACTTGGGAAAACAAATTATAGATGAGCTTTCATAGTTTTAAGTAGAAAGGGCTAGTATTATGAAATTCATTTATAGTACATTTCGTAATATTTAGTGGGTTTTAAATCAACTTCCTGAATCCATCAATCCTCTCATTTTCTAGACTAGATGATTTTATTTGCTGTATATTCTTGAACCACACATTTAAATTTCACTGGAGGCTGTACTATTGAGTGTGATAGAAAGAGCTCTGAAGACCTGGAATGAAATTCTGGATGCTTAATTTGCTTACTATACCATACTGAACATATTAATTAACATTTTGAGCTTAAAATTTCCAATATAAAAAATGGAACAAAATTAGTGCTCACCTATGCATGTATTTAAAAAGACTTTCACACTTAGTAGTTTGGCATATTGACATATAGTATTTTTCATAATCTTTTACAGAGACTGTCACTTATAATAGCATATAAAATGAAATATTTTATGGGAGCCTCCTTTCTTAAAAAACAAAATAAAAATAAAAACCCTCTATATTATTAACTAAAAGATTTTGACACTTCAATGAATCATCAAATCATTAAATATTTCCTTGGAAGTCTTTTTCTGTATTACTTAAAAGAAGTCACACAGAAAACACAGGCAGAATGGATTACTTTATAATCTCTTTGCAACTTTATTATCTCAAATGTTCACTATTATGATTGTTATTAATTATCTTAATTTTTGCCTAATAGGAAAGCATTGTGCTGCTGAGTGTTTTTCAAAGAACATAACTTACTTTATTGGGTCAGAGAAATTCTAGTCGAAGCCTACAAATGTAATAATTACTGATTATAACTACTTATTTTGGAAGATTTCTGTACTGATGAGTGAAATGTTACTATCAACCTTCAAATGAGCTACTTGTCAATTATTAAATTCAATCATATCTTTGTGTTGACCTTGCCTATTGATATTCTATACCCAAATATTGGCCATCTCCGTATATTTAATTTCACATATTACAATGTTATTTACAAGGGACTTTACTTAAAACCAAAGCAATTGTCATAATGTCAGAGACAACATGGATTAAAAAGTCTTAATGGTATGGTTGCAGGGGTTAAGTAGCAGATAGAGACAAGAGGAGAGAGAAACAGGGCGGGGTGGAGGGGGCAAAAGATAAAATATGTAAACATTGTTTCTTGAGAATTCTTCTAAGAATTGAAACTCCTTATAGATCCTCCCAAGTAGATAATATAAAACACCAGAGTGAGAAAGACAGTGGATCCCTTAGATCTGGATCTCTTAGTATCTTGTAGTTAAGTTCTTTTCAATGTCCACAAGCTGTTTGTTTATCATCAGACTTAACCCACAAATTTATATAATGGAGCTGTTGATACATTATGTTTTACACCAAAGTTATATTTTGTTCATGAGAATACTTGAGGGGAAAACATAGTATAAAAATCACAGAGAAGGTATTTCCTAACAGGATAATTGTAGAACATTTAAAATTAATATTGAGATGAACACTTTAGGGTTGTGGTCTACTCTTCTTGTTCTTCATAATAACCCATTAATGTTTCTCTTTGTAGGGATTTCCCTTATAGCCTGAGACCATGGATCAGCAAAATTATTCTAGGGTCACTGAGTTTGTGTTGCTGGGACTCTCTAGTTCCTGGAAGCTCCAGTGTTTCTTCTTTGTGTTTTTTAACTTCTTATATATCCTCATTGTCCTTGGAAACTTTCTTATTGTTGTCACAGTGATTTCAGAACCTGCCTTGCATACACCTATGTACATTATGCTTAGTAATCTCTCTGTTCTTGATGTTCTTCTGGCCACATATGCAACCCCAAAGATGATCTATGATTTCCTTCATGAACCCAAGACTATCTCCTTTGAGTGTTGCATGGCCCAGATATTTTTGCTCCATGTCTTTGCTGGTGGTGAAATGGTCCTCCTTGTAGCCATGGCATATGACAGGTATGTAGCCATATGCAAACCTCTGCATTACACAGTCATCATGAACTTGTGCAAGTGCACAAGCTTGGTGGTAGGCTCTTGGGTCATTGGAGTTATACACTCCTTGAGTCAGTTAGCTTTCACTGTAAATTTGCCCTTCTGTGGCCCCAACATAGTGGATAGTTATTATTGTGACCTTACTTTGGTTATCAAGCTTGCCTGTACAGACACGTACATCCCTGAAGTGCTGATGCTTTTGGACAGTGGTCTTATGGGGGTGACTTCTTTCTTGCTCTTGCTAATCTCCTACGTGGTCATCCTTGTTACTGTTTGCCGCCATTCTTCAGGGGGCATGGCCAAGGCCCGCAGCACTTTGACTGCCCACATCACGGTGGTGACCCTCTTCTTTGGACCCTGCATATTCATCTATGTCTGGCCTTTCAGCAACTTTCCAGTGGATAAAGTCTTTTCTGTGTTCTCTACAGTTTTCACACCTATATTGAACCCCATCATCTACACATTGAGAAACAAAGAAGTGAAATCAGCAATGAGTAAACTCAAGACTCAGATTGTAAATTCCAGGCTGCTTTCCCTCTCTCACCTGCAGAACCTGCTCTTGTAGGATTTGATTGGTTGCCCTGAGCAGAAAGGAAGAAATTCAAGACAGAGACTACCTTTATCTTATGACCACCATTGTTTTATAGCATTACTTTGTTTAAAATGGTAAATGTAATGTGTGTTCTTTGTTAAATGTATAGAGAGAAACTTGCACATAATTATGCATTTCCTCATCATATTTTTCTTATATTTGCATTAATTTCAAAGTTAATTAGCTTATATTTGTCATTTCAAGTTAGTGACAGAATGTTTCACAAACTAATATGCAATTTAATTGTTTGAAATTAATTTCATAAAAATTTCATTGCATTTTTATATTAGCTAAACTAAGAGCTCTTTGTTTCCTTTATGGCCTAAAAAACTCCAGGTCATCTATAAGATTTAGTTCTAGAACTCAAAACCAATCCCATTACTATTATTTTTTCCATTAAAATATTGGCACTCTCTATTAAAAAAATATCCAAGGTGTAATTCAACTTGTAAGAACAAATTTCCAAAAATACAATGTAACACTTCTCAAATTTTACCTTTATTTTATTTTTTCAACATTACAGAGAAAACTTAAGGAACAACATATCAAATTTTTTGAAGCTTTATAAAATCAGGTCAGATATGACGCAGGTACTTTTATTCTCATCATTTTGTCACCCAATTTTTGACATCAAAATACACAGTTAAGCAGTTTTAAATTCCTAAAATAATTACAAAATACAGCGCTTGAAGCTTTAGACAAGCTGTAATAAAAATTCATAAAAATAGAACAAGACCCCTCACACATGCTCACAACCTGGCCCTGTGATGATATCTGGATGCTCATTTGAAGGATATCAGATGCAAAGCCAGCTATTGCAGAAAACAATGAACGTTAGGATCTGGAAGCACATTAGGATGTTGCCACAATGCTGGGCTCTGAATGTCTTATCCAGATACTGAAATCCTCACCCCTAGCATATAGTATTAGGAGATGATTAGATCCTGAGAGTGGAGCCTCCATGAATGTGCTTTACAAAAGAGACTCTGCAGAGCTCCTTTGTCCCTTCGGTCATTGTGAGGTAATTGTGAAAAGACTTAAAATATTGACATAAAATACAGACAAATATCACATCACTTACTGCATGGAGGTATCTTATTATGTTTTCACCATGTTTTTAAACATAACTCGTTCCACAAACTTGTCACCATCATTACTTTTCCCCCCTCTTTTAAACTGGATGAATTACCAATTCTATATTGTGCAGTTGCATCTTTCCTGATATCAGCATTATAGTGAAAGATTACTTGGACAGCAATAACTGTTATAGACACCCCACTTAAAGTTTTTCATCATTTTTCTATATAGTTTTCCATAGAGAAGTAGTAAATTAGTGGTCACTTAAGGATAGGAAGGGTAGGAGGAAGGGAATAAAGTGAGGTTGGACAGTTGTTACATAGGAGGAATAGTATTCTATAGCACAGCAGGTAACTGTAGTTTACAATTCATTATAATCTCATAAAGAACTAGAAAAAAAAAGTTTAAAGTTTCCAGAACATAGAAGTGATAGATATTTAAGGAAGTGGAAATGTTAATTACCCTAGTTTGATCATTATACTTTGTATACATGTATTGAATTATCATCGTATGTTCCATAAATATGAATAATTTAAAAATACAACAACAATGGGTTCTACTCATGAGAAATAACACAAATCTACACCGAGCCTTATACAGAGACATCTATAGAAAGTTTTTTTTTTCTCATATTTGCCCCAAACTGGAAAACAATTACATATTCTCCATCTGGTAAATAGATAAAGAAAACTGTGGCACAACTATAAATAGAATATTGTTTATTGATAAAGGAATAAACTATGGATGCAAACACCATCATGGATGTGTGTTTTAAATATATTTTGCTAAAATTTCAGAAAGAAGCCATGTCTAAAAAAATATATGACCAAAGTCTCCTCCAGGCTTTTTTCTTCAGTTGCCATGATGGTTCCATAAGGACATCATAGTTATAACAATCTATTTTAAGGGATAACAACTTAACTTAACCAATGCAAATACTCAATACTTCATTTTTTCTCTATCTTTTATGTTGTGATCTCAGATTTTGCCTCTTTTATATCCTGTGTATTCATTAACACATTATTGTAGCTGTAGTTACTTTGGTACTAATACCAGAGAGTTAAAATGATTTATGCAACACCCATATGGCACTAAAACATTCTATGATTATATTCTTACCTTTACAGTAAGCTTTATGTGTCTTATGTTTTCATGTTGTTGGCATTCTTGTAGTTCAACTTGAATAACTACCTTTAGCATTTTTTATATGGCAGGTGTAATGGTGATGAATTCTGCAGCTTTCTGTATCAAGGAGTATATTTATTTTTCCTTCATTTGGAAGGAGAGTCTCATCAGATGTAATATTCTTCATTGGCAATTCCCCCCCCCACCCAGTATTTTAAACATATCATGTTATGTAAACATATTTTTTTATTTTGAGTTTAGCATCCCTTTTTCTCAGGTGCTGTCACTTAATGTGATTTTGGAAATAAGTTGTTCAAATGATAGATACTCAAACCCATATATTTTTTCTTTACATGTTATTTTATATTCTTATGTATACTGCATATATTCATATCAGAAACAAATTTCATATGGTATCTTCCTTAGGTTCCTTTTGTTTAAATGTTTTCTTGTAATAATGATTCTATTTCATTTGTAATTTACTTGACATAAGATATAAGCTTTTATATTCTTTAGAATTTATGAATAGTTTACCAGTAGTTCTGGTGATCAGATGTTGAATACTTTCTCTTCACTAATTTGTGATAACTCTTTTTTATGTTAAAGACTTATCTGTTCTAAGACTTTAATCCTGGATTATTTGTTATGTTCTTCTAATTGATCTGTCAATTTTTCTGCTAAGTCTGCTGATTTAATGAAAGCCTCATATTATCCTTCAAACATGGTAAGATTGTTATACCATAATTATTATTTTTGTCATAACTAACCCTTGATTTTCTTATTTGTTTAGATAAATTTAAAAGAAATTGTCATATACTTTGCAAAAAGCATGTTATGTTTCAGTTTGGATTGCACAATTATCTGAAATCATTTTGTTAGTTTTGTATACATGTATTGAATTATCATCTTATGTTAATATTATTTCTCATTTTGTTAGTTTTGTATGCATGTATTGAATTATTATCTTATGTTAATATTTTTTTCTCCGTCTTGGAAAATTGGATGTTCTTTATTTAGTGAATTCTTCTTTTACTTCATGTAAGTGTTTTTTCCTTTTATACAGTTTTACTTTTAAAATATGATACTTCTTTTGTAAAATTTTTATCTATTTAATTATGTGATGAAATTGAAGGGTGCAGTAAAGTAAGAATTTAATAAAATTAAAAATAGTTAACTACACATTATTCTAATTTACACTTCTCAGTTTTGAAAATACTCAGTGACTTCTAAGTCCAACATCAGAGTTAAGACAATAATTTTTGCAGCCCATGCCCCAAAGAGATCTATGATTATTAAATTACATTCTCCTCATTAACTTACTCCAAAGACAGAAGATTTCATTTCAAACTATACATGTTAAACACCCACTTAGTCACTTCATGGTATTGACAATGACGAGGATACATTTTAAGTTAGTTTGAATTTCCAAATAAAAGAATAACTCTATAGCAGTTTCTCAGAATACATATTCCTTCGCTCATTATCTCTGCCTCTTAAAGCCTTTGTTTAATTCAAGGCACTTCATACGTAGTGCACAGTGGCAGTCTTCATTCCTTCATCCCTTCCAACATGGTTTTCCTTATTTATATGCTATTTCCTGATTCTTTTAACAAAATATAACCTTTCCCAATGTTAAAATTGATGGAATTTCTACTTACAATATGTATATTATTCTGTTTACATTTTGTGACATTGTTTATTTTCTTTAATTGTCTTCTAATTTGTGAACTACTTGCAGATAAGCACTTTGCATTCATTTTGCATTCTTATTCTGTGGTTTTTCATGTGATAGGTATACAATTATTATGCATGCCTGAATTAAATTTAATTGGGAGATGGAGAAAAAAGACATTGCTTTGTCTAAGTGATTATAGGTTTACCATAGTGCAATCAGTTGTTAAATCAGTTGTTATGCCTACAGATAAAAGTAATTTGAATATGGATTGAAATGATATGCAATGTGTAGAAAATAGTAGTATTTGGGACTGTATTGAACCTACAGAGACAGAATTCAGTAATAATGGTTAAAACAGAAATTTTGCCTTTGCATACATTTCCTTAGGAAATAAACTCTACACTAGTTACAAGAGGCCCTCACAATAGCTAGTATATAGATAAACTGGGAATATGATTTTAAAACCATGAATCCCTAGATAGAAATGATATTTGCTAGTCTATGATAAAAAAAAAAGAAAGCCTTGTTAGCAATAGCCCCACGGGACAATAACTCATCAATAAGAAATACATTTTTAGTTTTACCTCCTCTTAAATAAAGTATGTAGGACATAACAAAATCAGTATGAAAAGAACACACACCTGATACATTATCATACTTCAAGGTTTTTATGCGGCACTTCTAACATTAAAAGAGCTGAAAAATTCCAACTCTATCTTAGAGGCATCTCTATGGCAGCCTACCAAAGACTCATGTAAGTTTTCATACTCTGCCACTTCAAAGAGCTCTATGTGGACCACCTATTTTAATACAATGGTCCATTGCTTTTGATTGCATGTGAGATTGAATGTCCCTTTTTATATCTGAACTCCCACTTAACATTCTGAGATTTGCTGACTTGTTTTCACATGTCAATCAATTTCATGCCCTTCTGCAGACTTAGCCATTGTTCTCTGGGTTTATTCTGACAGTTACATATCACATAGTGTGGCACCACAGTAAGAGGCCAATATATTCACTTAATCTAAATCTCTTCTTTGTATGAATAGGCACACACATATATTTTCAGATGTGGCTTCCATTTTCACACACATAA